ATCTAAGTCTACCTCTATCCCTCCTAACATCCTCTAACATATCTCTGACTAGACCTTCATGCCTGAGAAGGTGACCTACCAAGTTATCTCGCCTATTTCGTATTGAATTCCATAGAGTCCTCTGTTCTCCTATTATTTCTAATAACTCTTCATTTCTAACCTCCATCTACGGTATCCCCATCATTCGTCTGTGACACCACATTTCGAACGCTCCAAACCTTTTCTGTTCTTCCTAGCCCAGCGTCCATGTTTCACACTCGTACAGCGCTGAGCTCCAAACATACACCTTTAACAACCTTTTCAGAATTTCCAAATTAACCGTTCGCGAGCATAGATGTGACATCTTTTGATTGAAGGCGCCTCGACCCTGCGCTATCCTCTGCTTTATATCCCTACTACTCCTTCTGATGTGACTTACCTACAATTGGCCACTTCTTCTAATTTTTTATCGCCTATCTTTATATTCGCTCTTTCCCTACTTTTTCTTCCCTTGCATGTCAGTATTTTTATTTTACTTTTATTTATTTTCATACAAAACTATTTTGTCAATACCGCTTCCATTTTATTTAAAGCTATCTCTAACTCCTACTACTGCTACATCATCTTCAAATCGAAGCATAGTAATCTTTTGCCGCTTTATATCTATCCCTACATTTGTAGTGTCTTTAATAATAATGATCGCGTCTTCGATGTATAGATTAAAAAGTAACGGTGACAGTCTGCAACTCGCTTCCTTTTAGTCTTCTGGTCACGTGTGTTAGTTTCAACAGAATTCCGACCAGAAGCCCACTGTTCTGTCAAAATTTTTATGTGTTTCTGTGGACAAATCGTCATTTGAGTGTAGTGACCATTGCGATGGTTGTATTTGCGTGGGCGCGCAATTTATTGTAGCTATTTTGATATAGGTGACTACAGTAATCGCACTCGTGTGTCGTTGTTTTCTGGCTCATTTCGGACTCGCGTTCCATCAGGCGTGTTGCCCATTATTCTTTCCGTTTTTTCCCCCGTTCTCTCGTTTTTCTCTTTTTGTGCTAGCTATCATTTCAGTAATATACGTGGGTCAATCATTTTTCGTCGCGGCGCGCGTGAGAGAGAACCAGAGGCACGGAAATTGTCACGTATTTCAAAACGGTCCTGCTTCGGTGTGTATATTTTTCCACATTTATTAAAGTCGCCGTGACAGCAGACAGCGTCGCGACGTACGACGTCCCTTCCCCGGTGAAATACGGACGCGGTAAATCAGTCGGGATTAAAATCATACCGTCGTCATCAGAGCAGATATTAATTCTCGGTTTTATTAAATAAATAGTTTTACCGTCCGCCCGCGAGTAGATACGGAGGTTGACGCCGGCGCCCTCTACCATCTCGAACCATTAAATTTCTTCGTTCTGCCCGGGATTTGCTTTTGTTACTTATAACAATTGTCGTATATCTCGCAATTTAAAAATGTTTTGTTGTGCCTTTGAAAAACATAATCGCCTGCCCTTTTAATAGATAGTGTGGACAATCCTTTAAACGGTGTATGATGGAGCTTAGTATCTAAATAAGCTTAATTTTGTAGTTCATTTTCTAACGCAGGGGTCATTGTGTATTATCTCTGACGTTAGCTAGTTATGTAGGACTATATAAAAGACATATATTTTAAAGTAACTTTAAAAATCCAAAACATCGTTGTTTCGGTTCATCATCATCATAAGGTTGTCAATCCTAAGTCAGGTTGGACCGATCGGCATGGTCTAGAGGTTTAGTCCATTGCTTAGCATTCGGGAGTACGCCGGTTCGATTTTGGGTCTGTCTGCCTTGATCCAAGTTCTTCTGTGGTTTCCCTGGATCACTCAGGCAAACTGGAGCAGTAACATTCCACAGACAATCTTTCATTCTCCTCCAGTCTTCATTTCGTCCGTCTCATCTTTCCACCCACCCATTTCCATAATTCCTGAAGGGGGGCTGAGGAGTACCTTCCGTCTTACCTTCTGACGTAGTCTCCTATGTCTCTGATTAGTCCTTCATGCCTAAGAAGACGTCCTGTCTTTATAAATGTAAAATCGATGTAGACGTAGATGTGGACAGGCCGATGTTCACATTCAACACCTTAGGAGATGTGTATTTTTCTTAGGTATCTCTCCAAGGAGACCTACCATTTACAGAGCTCTACCTTGTAAATATAAGTAACTGAAATTATCTGAGTACTATTTAAATTATTTTCCGGGTGTTGAGAAAGATAGGCGTGTTCCATTTTTATTTTTGAAAGAAGAACACGTCTTATGCAGGATGGAAGTTTATTTTGAATTAGCGCAAAAACCGTGTTTTATTAAGACTACCTACTCCTCACATATTTCTTCATATTTCTGCGATAATTTTTTTTAACAGCAATCGTTCTCTTATTGGAGATATATGTATCATATTTTGAGGTTATAAAATTAACGTGTCTCGTATAGCCCTGTTCATTTATTCGTCTAGTTAGCCAACTAGTCCATTAATGAAACACTTCGTCTGTTTTATTCTCCATAGATTAATAAGGCAAATACTATAGCTAGCAATAATACCCACATATGACTATATAGTGTCTGTATATTCATTTTTCCGTAAATAATATATTGTTTAACTAATCTTTCTTTCAGGGAAAACCAAACAATCTCATGCTCTATTTAAGCATGAAAACTCCTTGTATAATAATATCCTGTTTACAATTTTTAAGAAAAATATTTTTTACTTCCTTTAGTATCATAATCTGCATTCCAAGTTTGTGTTGTATAGTCAAACGGTTGCTAATGGTTTCCTAATTGCTCAAACGATGCAAAATCATTGTTTATCACTTACAAAGGGTCCCGGGGGTGTTTCAGGTCCCAGTGCTTCTCGCTCATCAAGAAGCGTGAACGAAGATAAAATGGCCGAGGGATTTCACTTTGATTACACGTTTTTCACCATAATTATACGCAGTCCGCCTTACAGGCAGCAAGGGAATACAAAAAAAGGAATCAAAGTGAACCGGGACCCTTGCCTAATTCCTTATTTTCGCTGCTCGCTTTCATACAAAAAATTGAAAAAAAGAAAGCAGATTTCATTTGGGTGCCAAATGGAAGCCTAAATGCCACCCATGCTTGTGATTAAGGTAATAAACATGTTTTCAAAAATTGACAACAAAACATCGTTGTTCAATAAAGAACATGAAATTTTTCGGCACATCATGTGTAATTTTGATAAACGAAACTCAAAGCTCCTCAAAGACAAGTTAATTAATATGAAGTTACTGTAAGTATATCGCCAGATACTGGTTTTTACTGCAACATTTGATGTGTATAGCAAGGGCGTTAGAAAAGTATCTATAAATAAGTAACGTATTTGAAAGTACAGACAACTGTCAATCCGGCTCTGGTAAATCACACAGAGAAATACGACATTCCAACATCACATCAGTCATTGGCATAGGTCAGTGTGTCACTGTAGAACGGAGAATATAAAGAACATCTCCTTGCCCAAATCATAGATATGTACATACAGTAACACACAAATATCAAAAACCCCTAACAAACAGAACTAGAGTTAAGGCTTTTGTTAAACTGGCGTGATCAAGGATCTTCATTTCTTTTAAATTCCCACCCACTTTGTCTCACATGAATTGCATAACCTAATTCCACCTGGTTTCAGAAGAAATATATTCCGAATTGGCGACGTCGCCATTATCAAGAAGATTAACGACTCGGTCCCCTAATATCTCCACAACCAACAGCAGTGGCGCAATAAATTTTTTAATAAGTATACAAAATTAGTTAAGAAGAATTTAAAAGTCCCCTGGCACTTGTTTTACGCCGCGCTCGTCCAACCGTTGCTGTTTCAAGGACGCAACCGAACGTGAAGGAGGAGATAACAATGAAGAAATGATTGACAAATTTATTACTTTTTTTCTGTCTATCTCACTCCTCTCGTCCTCGTTTCCCTCAAGTTGAACTTCCAAACAGTAAACTCTCGTCTCTGAGGAAATTTTCTCGTTACTCACCGACATCAATCAAAATTAAGACTCTGGGAAATTCACAAATTGTTCCTTTTTTTCCTTCTCGTTGGGATAAAGTAAAAATTCCGATTCAGAGATAACACTTCCTTTCATAATTGCATCTTTCTCTTAAGTGGTAATTGATTGCAACTATCCAGATACTTTATAAGCTGCAAGAAGGATGGACTAAAATATTTCAGAATTTATTCTACAATTTTACGTATCTGTAGATTAAATTTTGATACAATTTCCTCTTGTATATATTTCTTTATTTTATCGAAATCACTAGTAAAATGTGTCAATTTTGCGTCTGTTTCATTTTAAGGTTATATAACTTGTCGCCCTTATGCTTCCTAAGCGATATTGTTGCTATTATAAGGGCTTTCCTTATAATAGCAACAATATCGCTTTATAATTATCAAAATTAAACTGAGAACGACATTGTGTTCAGATTTCAACAAATTTTGTATTATTTTAGGCAATAATTAATAATGTTTTTAAAAAATAGCAATGTAAATTTTGAAAACGCTTTGTCCATTCAAACGTGATTTTCAAGGTGATCGTGGGGTATTTAATTCTATAATTGTATAATTTCTTTGTCGGTACGGTAAACACTATCTTGTCACTTTTGCATCTATGATTCTATTTCTCAGGTGACAGATTACAGTTCTGGTGGTAACAGTTGTCTGTTAAAGGTTCAATTTGGGTGAAGCTCAGTTAAAGTGGTGTCAAGTGTCTGTTATATTATTAATTAATTTATATTATTAATTATTGATGTTATTGTGTACTCTATTAAATATATATTTGGTTTAATTAGTGGCGTATTATCGTAGCATCATCGCTTAAACTTAAAAAGTTAATTGGGTTTCACTATGACAAATAACGGTGTAGAAAATATAAAACATCAGGACCGAGCTCGACGTTAACATTAAAAATGACTCTGACTCAAACTGTCACAACTACTTTATTTGTAATAATATTTAGTAAAACTCGTACAAAGACGACTTACCCGAAACATCGATACACCCCTTTTGTATCTTAAGCGTACTGGTGTTGATTTCGCACATGTAGCACCCTTTATCCGATTCTTTTACATGACGGATTCTAAGTTCCCACGTCCTAAGCCCGTCAAAAGTGACGCTAATCCTTGAATTATGCGTCACCACTTTCGTCTGTAGGCTTAGCACTGTTTGATCTTCGGCTCGCAGCCATGCGACCTGTAACAAACGAGAAAAACCGTAAAACATAAACCGCTATACAAAAACAAGGCACTTTTGCATACTCAATTTAACACTGTCAGACATTGTTGACGCCAAACAGAAACAGTAGACATATTTTGTTTAACTGAAAAATAAGACAATAAATGTAATGATGAACGAAACGGTATCATGGTTTACCAAAATGTGGACTTATGGTATTAAACTGAAAATATGGATGTTGTTTCTGTGTATGGTTCGTGAGTCATGTTTGTAACATTGAAGATGCTATTTTACATACTTATAATATACCCATTTAGTGTAGATGGTGAGTGTAAAACCCGTGTATTTCTTAAGGAGGTTCATTTTCGTATTTTGCATTCAATTTTACCTCTCCACGCCTCCACTGACATTACAGCTACCAGCTGTTGCTAGCCATCTTTGACGCTGCTACGATCAGCAATTTTTTAAGGCGTGACGGCTGAAGTAATGTAAGGTATCAGAAGCTGCAGCAGTAGAAGAGCACCTTATGATCATGGTGCAATAGATGAAGGTAGCCTCAGAAAATATTGTAGCGAGCATGAGCGTGTCTGTGTGCGATCGGACATACGTGTGTATGAGCAGCTTATTGATTCGCTGACTAGCCGCGGGCGTACTGGGAAAGCAATTAAACAGTTCAAAGAAAAAATAAACTATCCGGATGTTTCCAGAAGGTTCCAGAAAGTAAACAAAAGAGTATTTAAAGGAAGAGACAACCGCCGATAGAGAAGAAATAAATTAACCGTTGCAGAAGTGAAATAAATGGCGCAGTGAATAGTGATTTATTAATAATTAGTGTAAATAAATAGAATAATTACCTAAGTTTAGTAATAATTTAATAGTGTTTTTAAGTTCAATGATAATTAGTGTAAATAAATAGTTTTCGTCTTAGAAGTTAAATTTTGTTAAACCCACGAACATTACAATATATCACTCTCAGGAAAATATTTATTCGTTCGGATATTCAACAATAAATGGTATTCGAAAGACTCCACCATATTTCTAAAAGCTGCAACGTTCAGTAGCGTAAAACTGGATGACACTACCAAAAGAGTCGCACCCCATAAAACAACCCTACATTTACGTTTGATGTAGAATTAAAGTGATTTTCAGTAATGACTAGAGCATTCCTAAGGGAATAGATGTGAATAATTAAACCAGCCCGTATCTAAAATCCGAAAATTTCAGCACTTTCTGGTGTCACGAATGACAAAATTATCGACACAACTAATCATATTACGACAGAGTTAAGTTCATTTCGGTAAACAGTAAAATTCAGGTGTGTGAAATACAGATGGCGCTGTCAAGAAAGTTTCATACCATAAACAGAAGCCTTAACGAACGATTTATGGCAAGAATCATTTACGAAAACCGTTATTATAATCGTAAACAACAAAAAAATAATCGGATATCTTAAACGACTTTTTTTTCGTTTCATGTGATCTGTTTAGTTGGCGTAGATTGGCAAAAAATGGAAAGGGAAATAGAATTAAATTGCCCAAAAAAAGTATTAGGACGAAGTTAGTGCCGCGTCGTCTAAAAATTAATGATCAAAATTCCGGTTAAAGACATATATACACGCGTCACAGCTCCCTGTTGTTCTCCTTGTCATCTTTTCTACCCCATTTCGATTTAACAGCTTATTCTCATCTGTAGCGCACACTGGGAGGAGGTTTCCTTCGACGTGTCGTCGGGATGATGGTGATAGTATGTAGTTGAAGCTTGTGCTGAAAGGTGTCAGCAGGCTAATGTGCTCGTACGGGCGTGAAGAACCAGGCCACTAACTACATCATTTCTAAAGTGAACCTGCTGCTTCGAGGGTGACAGATCGCTTTCAGGCGTGGATTATGTCGACCGTCAGCTTACTCTCCTGCTACACACACACACACACATATGTATGCCCGCATACACAGACGGGGCTACGGTTAAGATGACGCCTTTTCAAAAAGTTAACTGAAAAGGGTCTGCTGTTGTTGTTGACTGGTTGGTGGGTGAATAAATAAAAAAGAACGACAGCCATAAAAGAGAAAAACGGTTTAGGAAGGAAGTGAAGAAAACAACAAAGCAGAACGTTGTTTTGTGATTTTTCTTGTTTACCTATTGACAGTATTACCTTTTAGGATTGCACAATAAGTTACAAAAAGTAGAGCCCCTATATTGTTGTCGTGTCAGGTGTATCAATAGCTTTGATAATTATAGATTTATATAAATGAAATTTTTAGTAGAATGAAGATTTGGGCTATAGGGCCGTGGTCTAAGTGAACTATTGTGTCCAGATGTTTCGTCAGTTACTGCGGCTAACATCCTCAGGAATTTTTGCGCTTTCTTTAATAATTCACCAGATATATTCTCCTAAACATTTAATCCTCGATTTCGAAAATAACACTTGGCTAAAACTTCCGACAGCCATACCTCCGAAACGGAATCTCGTAAGTGGACGCTTTTACTCTTGCTGTAGAGCACAGTATCTCTAAAAAATTTTGGTGATACTGCAATGGAGATCGGACCACTCAGTTCGGTGGTAGGGGCTATCGTGTGGCCTCAGGAAAACACTAAAACGAACGATAGGGCAAATTGCGCGAATTGGGTCGGCTCTAGCGCAAACCAGGAGAGTCACAATTTAAACTTGTTTCCGTCGAAAACTTTCCGCATTCATTGGGCTTTGAACGAGCCCTGTTTGGCACAGATCGGACGTGCGTCTTCGGAGCCATGGATTTTTATCCGCGGCCAAGTTCGCGAGCGGACAGCTCCTATGTTTGACTTTTCGCGAGCTGTAGCTGGAAAACGGTAAGACCTATCGGAAAAATTCTTCCATAGGCGGATGCCCCGTCTCAGCGCGAACAATATGAGCCGTATGCGATAGCATTCGGTGTTGATGAAAAATTCAAAACTTTTAAAACTTTTTAATTTTTTGTTCTTCGAAATTAAGTTTTTTCCGTACACTTCGGTACGGGCCAACCGTTGGTGAAAGAATTTTTGCCCTATCTTTAATATTTCGCCAGATATGTTCTCCTAATCATTTAATCTTCGATTTCGAAAATAACTCTTGGCTAAAACTTCCGACAGTCATAACACCGAAAAGGAACCTCGTAGCTCGGCGCTCTTACTCTTGACTCAGAGCACAATATCTATAGAAAATTGCGGTGATACTCCAATGGAGATTGGACCACTCAGTCCGGAAGGAGGGGTCATCGTGTGGCCTCAGGAAAACACTAAAACGAACAAAAAGCAAATTGCGCGAATTGGGTCGGCTCTAGCGCGGACTAGGAGTGTCACAATTTAAACATGCTTCCGTCGAAAACTTGCCGCATTCATTGGGCTTCGAACGAGACCTGCTTGGCACGGATCAGACGTACATCTTCGGAGCTATGGGTTTTTATCCGCGGGCAAGTTCGCGAGCGCACAGTTCCTAAGGTTGCCGTTTCGGGAGCTGTAGCTGAAAAACGGTAGGACCTATCGGAAAAATTCTTCCACAGGCGGATGCCCCGTCTCAGCGCAAACAATATGAGCCGTATGCGATCGCATTCGGTGTTGATGAAAAATTCAAAACTTTTAAAACTTTTTAATTTTTTGTTCTTCGAAATTAAGTTTTTTCCGTACACTTCGGTACGGGCCAACCGTTGGTGAAAAAATTTTTTTTTGCCCTATCTTTAATAGTTCGCCAGATATGTTCTCCTAATCATTTAATCCTCGATTTCGAAAATAACTCTTGGCTGAAACTTCCGACAGTCATAACTCCGAAAAGGAACCTCGTAGGTCGGCGCTCTTATTCTTGACTCAGAGCACAATATCTCTAGAAAATTTCGGTGATATAGCAATGGAGATTGGACCACTCAGTCCGGAAGAAGGAGTCATCGAGTGGCCTCAGGAAAACACTCTAAAACTAACAAAAAGCAAATTGCGCGAATTGGGTCGGCTCTAGCGCGGACTAGGAGTGTCACAATTTAAACATGCTTCCCGTTTGGTATGGATCGGACTTATATCTGCGAATCTATGAATTTTTATCCGCGGCCATGTTCGTGAGCGCAACATTTCTAATTTTGTCTTTGTCCATGCTGTGGCTGGACAACGGGAGGACCTATCGGGAAGATTCTTTCACAAACGGATGTTCCGTTAGGTGGAAAAAAATCATTCCTCACTTAAGACGCTTTGAATTTTTGTAGGGTTCAATTGATGTGAAATTAGTGAATTAATTTTCTAATAGACAACCTTATATTCCTCATTAATTTTTTTTTACGTTCAAATTATGTAGAATTAATCGCGTTGGCCTTTATGGTGCTCTACCATTTCGTACTTTTTCTTGGGGTACTCTGCATAACTCTCAGAGCATCTTGTAGGCATCATCCTATAGTACGTAATCGTGGTCTAGCGCAGACAGGAATAGCAAGTGTGTCCTTTCTCCTTGGCTCTCCTTCCTCATCTGTTACTTTGTCTACTTTTTTCACATAAATGTTAGAGAGAGAAACGTTGTTAGAGGTGCATTTTCTAGTTATCATTGCGCTTGACCATACTGCGATAGCACAGTATAATGGTATTCTATAGAGTAGACTCACTCCTGCAATTTAACCTAAAATGCAGGCGGTCATAAATCACCTTATGTGCTGCTATTTACTGCGACGTTTCAGCAATTTTATGAAAGTGTGTAAATAGAAAATATATTTGTAGTTTTGTGGCTTCACGACGACACTCGGTACTACCCTGAAAAATCGTTTGTATTTGTTGAATTTCTTTGCCTAACCTTCAAAAACAAAAGTGTATAAGATTTGGACCCTGACGGTATGTTCTACATTTGTGAAAATATGAAATCTTCGTTATTTGCGTCATGGAAAAGTCCTTCCTTTTGTACTGAAGGGAATATTGATGATGTAATTGCCTTTGTCGACGGAACTGGAACTGGACGAAACACGTGCCCCGGTATCTGACATCTCCTTGAATTATGACAACTTTTTACATATATCACTTGACAAAAAAAAAACATTCGT